TCAGCGCATTCAGCAGCGATTCGGTCCAAAACCTGTATTGTCACATCAACACCATAGAGTTTTATTTTAGGAACGAAAATCGCCGAGACAGAGCGCTAGAATGTTCGAAGTTTTTGAGTCTGATCAATGTTTCTGAACTCGTGCTACGGGCTACAAATCATAAAAAGCTTGAATGGATAAAGTAACACTAAATCAAAAAAAAAGAGGAGGAAGCGAAGAATTTTGATTAGGTTTAGAAACTCACACTGGACACAGAGTCGTCAATTCGTAGGCTTGGTGATGTAGCTGCCCGTTTACGAAATGAGAGATCGAGTTCTTCGAGACGTCGATTACCAGGAGAATGAGATCGAGGAGGAACATCAAGGTAAGCACGAGCTATGGCTATCTCATAGTCGGTCATAAAACCTTTTCTGGCAGCAATGACGTCTTCAAGCGTCACTTCAACGTCTGAGGTGAGTCTAAATCACTACCTTAGACGAACAATCAAAGCAAATAAAGTCCGAGCATTATTTAGTTTGCTCACACACCCTGCTCAATATCATTTCACATACCACAAAAAGGAACGGAGTCTAATTTCCAGAAGAAAAAACACAAATGATTTCCAAAGGAGTGAGAAAACCATGACACATAAAAATGATACTCACTTTTCCAGATTGAGTATATGCCGCACACGATTTTTCTGATGTCGCCATACTCGTTTGATTTGCTCAAGACGCAAATTTCGCTGACAACGTTTCATTGTGGCCATATGAACTTCATCCCATGCTTCTGCCCTAAATAAAGCTGTGAATGCATTATTGATAACTTATCAAAGATGAATCGTATATAGACGACGATGATATTAAGGGGGAAATCTTTACATGATTAATAAGTTATTATTTTATTCGCCATTAGTATGCTCAGCTCCCCTCTTCCTTGACTTCTAGCTCCTCGATCCAATGTTTTTTGAAAAATTGATAAAATCAATATCGATCGATGGCGAAAATAGCCCTCGACACTGCCCGGTCCCGAAGTATATGTGTGCAAAGTTTGGTCTGCATCGCTTCAAAAGGCTCCGTCCAGAGTGCCGGAGCTGCGCCAGAGCCGAG